ACAACCCTCATATATACCCTTTAAGGGATGATGCAGGGCCCAAATTCCCTCATTCTCTACTGAAGCCAGCCCTCAGGCCCTCAGTTGCATTTTGGGGGGGTGTCGGCCCAGTGTGGGCGTCCCATGGGTTGTGGTGGAGCTTGCTCCACGCCCCACTCAAAACAGTGCCCCAAGCCCTCAACCCGCAAGCCCCGAAACCCCCTCACTTCCACCCGAAAAACCCTAAAAACCCTATAAGCCCCAAGCCCCGAGCCCCGAGCCCCGAGCCCCGAGCCCCAAGCCCCAAGCCCCAAGCCCCAAGCCCCAAGCCCTAAGCCCTAAACCCTGAACCCGAAGCCCTAAACCCAAAGGAGGATCCTGCCAACCTTAAATCGACATGAGGTCCAAACTCGGCGACGCCGCCAGGGTGACCGCAGGCGCTTCGGTCTCGGGCTTGTTAAGAAATAGAAACGTTTCAAGTTGTGCCTGAAACTACATGGAGGTTCATGTGTACTTATAACACCCAATGATAAGTCTACTTGCAACTTTGTCAGGGGGCTTAGAAGGGCAGTTATAATTGGTGTTCTAAGTACCCTGAACCTCCGAGTAGGGGATAGGGTTTTGGGGTTTTAGGGTTTTCGGTTTTTAGGGTTTTAGGGTTTTAGGGTTTTAGGGTTTTAGGGTTTTAGGGTTTTAGGGTTTTAGGGTTTTAGGGTTTTAGGGTTTTAGGGTTTTAGGGTTTTAGGGTTTTAGGGTTTTAGGGTTTTAGGTTTTTAGGGTTTTAGGGTTTTAGGGTTTTAGGGTTTTAGGGTTTTAGGGTTTTAGGGTTTTAGGGTTTTAGGGTTTTAGGGTTTTAGGGTTTTAGGGTTTTAGGGTTTTGGGGTTTTGGGGTTTTGGGGTTTTGGGGTTTTGGGGTTTTGGGGTTTTGGGGTTTTGGGGTTTCAGGGTTTTAGGGTTTTAGGGCTTTAGGCCTTTAGGGCTTTAGGGTTTTTTGGGGTTTTAGGGTTTTAGGGCTTTAGGGTTTTAGGGCTTTAGGGTTTCAGGGTTTTCGGGTTTTCGTGTTTCAGGGTTTAGGGTTCGTCCTAAACTAGACCAAACAAACCGTTGTGGCCCTCCGCCGGATGGGGGGGCGGGGAGGCGGGGGGGCTTGTTAAAACTTGGGTGCCAACAATATAACTGCTCCAATACGCTACCAGAACACGACACCCTCTCGAAGGATAGGGTACCAAAAGACAGGCCTCTACAGCAGCCATGCCCTAACATGGATACTTTCCAACATAGGGGCACCTCTAAATATGTCTAAATAAACCAAAATGAACCCTAAACCCTGAACCCTGAACCCTAAACCCGAAGCCCTAAGCCCCCCAAATACGAGGCGAGCCTTCTTTGAAGCAGGTTCTTCACTCCCCGGCCTCTCGCCAACTTGCCCCCAGGAAGGCTTCGTGTAAACAACGAGTGTTTGGGGTTTAGGGTTTAGGGTTTAGGGCTTAGGGTTTAGGTTTTGGGGCTCAGGTTTTGGGGTTGTTGGCGTTCAGGCAGGTTTCCGGGGCAAGTCAGCGTGGATGCAAGGGTTGGGGTTCGGACTCTGAAAGCTGTGAATTGGGCTATGCCTTCGCGGCTGGCTCCTTGCTTTTCATCCCCTTGATCTTGGACCCCGAATGACTAGCTCCAATTGCGGAAAACAGTGTGCCAACGCCAGTAACCCTAAACCCTAAACCCTAAACCTAAACCCTGACCCTAAGCCCTAAACCCTGTGGGTTCCAACCTCAAGGGTAAAAGGTTTCGATTGCCGGAGCCGCACCTCCCAGCCTGCTCGCATCTTCAAACCGCCCCCTCGCCCAAAAAAAACCCCCAAACCGCGTAGGTCCCGTGCGCGTTTTGAGGCTTGCGGTCGCTCCGCGTCCCGGAAACATGGGCAGGCCCGCGTTTTGCTGCGTTTTTTGGTCGGATGGCATGGGATGGGTTCACTTCATGCATCCCTAAACCCTAAACCCTAAGCCCTAAACCCTAAACCCTAAACACTAAACCCTAAACCCTAAGCCTTAACAAGTGCCCTGAACCTCCGAGCAGCGGCTGGAATGTACACGTTTGTCGTACAAACGTAGGGCGCGGAGGACGTCCGGTGCTCGGGCAGGGTCTTTCACTGTTTGTGGTCCACGGAGAGAATTTTGAGGGGAATGAACCTAAACCCTAAACCCTAAACCCTAAACCCTGGTCTAAGGGGAATGGATTATTCCGGCGGTTGCTGGCTTCTGCACATCTCGAACAGGTGACGCGGGGGTGCGCCTCCAAAACAAAGCCCGCATGTCCTGCCCCAGGGATGCAGCAGTCGTAGGTTGCGGGTTTAGGGTTTAGGGTTGAGGGTTGAGGGTTGAGGGTTGAGGGTTGAGGGTTGAGGGTTTAGGGTTGAGGGTTGAGGGTTGAGGGTTGAGGGTTGAGGGTTTAGGGTTTAGGGTTTAGAGTTTAGAGATTAGAGTTTAGGGTTTAGGGCCCTCCAAACGAGAGGTTTGTCATAAATCTTGAAAGTCATATGCATCTCAATAAAAAATTAGAATAAATACTTACTAATTATAGTACTGATAATATTCGTAATGATGTTAGTAATGATATTCGGAATAACATTAATACTGGTACTAATTTTAGGTATCAACTTAGTCCCAATATCACCAACAAAAGTATTCATCAAAAAACGACAACAATAGTTAAGTTTAAGATCAATATTCATAATCACATCAACAATTCTACTTCTAATCATATCAATCATTCTTTGAATAATCAGATCTATAATCATGTGAATCATATCATGATAAGATCAATATTGAATACTCATAATCATATTCAGAAAAAATCATGAGCGTTTCATCAATACTTTGTAAGGAAGGAGCCATACCGTACCGAACCGCTCCCTACTCTCTACACCTCTATCCCCGAACCCGACATTCCAGATAAGCTTTCGGCCAGCCCCCTGCTCCCCTTGCACCCCTTACGCCCCTTGCAGCCCTTGCAGCCCTCGCAGCCCTTGCACCCCTTGCACCCCTAGCACTCCTTGCGCCCCTTGCACCCCTTAAACCCCTTACACCCCATGCACCCCTTGCACCCCTTGCACTCCTTGCGCCCCTTGCACCCCTTAAACCCCTTACACCCCTTGCACCCCTGACACCCCTTGCAGCCCTTGCACCCCGTTACACCCGTTACACCCGTTACACTCGTTACACCCGTTACACCCGTTACACTCGTTACACCCGTTACACTCGTTACACCCGTTACACCCGTTACACCCCTTACACCCCTTACACCCCTTACACCCCTTACACCCCTTACACCCCCATTACGCTCCCCTTGCACCCCCCTTGCACCCCTTACTCCCTTCCACCCCTTGCGCCCCTTGCACCCCTTGCAGCCCTTGCAGCCCTTGTACCCCTTAAACCCCTCACACCCCTTCCACCACTTACACCCCTTGCACCCCTTACACCCCCCGCGTGTAAGGGGCGCAAGCGGTGTAGGGGTAATGCCGCACCGCACCTTATTGGAAAGAATAGTAGCCTACCACATCGGTTCGCGACAGCCCTGATAACACTGTCAATATTAATATAACTACTGTCAATATTCATATGGGGGTGTGCGAAAATAGGGGTAGCCTTTTGAGGGTCCGCCTTAAGGGAATGGTGTTCAATTTGGGGTACAGTACCCCTTTTTTTGGGAAACCCCGACGTTTTGGAAACCCCCGTATTCATCTGACGAGTATCATGTACAGAAAGGGTTTAGGGTTGAGGGTTTCGGGTTTGGGGTTTGGGGTTTAGGGTTTGGGGTTCAGGGTTGAGGGTTTAGGGTTTAGGGCTTAAGGTTTAGGGTTTAGGGTTACCCCTTCCCATAGAGCTTAGGTTTTAGGGATTAGGGTTTAGGGTTTAGGGATGTTTAGGGTTTAGGGTTACTCCCTGGCAATTCGATTCCGCGCCTCCTTTTGCAGTTCGGCTCGGAACTTGGGCGCTGCCTCCGTCGAAGGGGCTTCCAAAAATTGGGGGGCACCCGGCTGTTATAGCATGTTGGGGGGGGGGGGGGGGGGGGGATGGGAAAGGGGTAGCCCTAAACCCTAACCCCTAACCCCTAAACCCTAAACCCTAAACCCTAAACCCTCAACCCTAATCACTCGAGCCCTCTCAGGAGGCGACACCTCGGCGGCGGAGCGCCCGATGCAGACTCCATTGATGCGCTCCAGGCGGTCACCGTAGCGCACCTGGTGTTTGGATGCGGGCAGCTGTCAAAATTCGTGTCCCTTTTTTGGACACCCTAAGTTATTAGGCGCCGTGGTATATTAGGGGACCTTAAAAAAGGACAGCCACTCATGTGTCTTCTCTGACTCTGTCAGCATCAGCCTCTACATCATTTCAGTAGACCTTTACATGACTTTGCGGGTCTCAAGCGCGTGTCTCATCGCAGAGCCCTCGCCTGGCGATTCGGAGGCTGGCAGGCGTTCCAGCGATCGATGAGGGAGCCCTCGACCTTGGAAGAAAGCAACACGTTTTGATGTAGGGTTTAGGGTTTTAGGGTTTAGGGTTTAGGGTTTAGGGTTGAGGGTTGAGGGTTGAGGGTTGAGGGTTGAGGGTTGAGGGTTGAGGGTTGAGGGTTTTAGGGGTTTAGGGTGTAGGGTTTAGGGTTTTAGGGTGTTAGGGTTTTAGGGTTCTCCCGATTACTGCCGGGAACCCAGGGTGTAAAGGATTCGAGTGGTGAGGAGCATCGCGCGAGCTTTTCTGCAGGTCCATTCTCCAGACATACCGTACCGCGACGCTGTGATTCTGCCCTGTCTATGGCTTCGACGGGCTTTTGGAATCGATGTGAGTGAAACCAACCAAAGCCCCCCTGTAGTTGCACAGATTGCAGCGACAGCTGTCGCCGCTGAATTACTCGCGAGGTCTAAAAACGTCGCCTATATTCGTCTATTTTGGCCTATATTCGCCTACACCAGCCTATATGAGCCTTTGTTAGCCAATAAGAGCATTGTTAGCCTATCGTAGCCTGTATGATCACAAGTCGGAGAGGTCAGGGAGGGGGCCCGTTGTCTTCTGTGTCTTCAGCAGCCAGGGAGGTACAGCCCAGAGGTGGTCCTCCGGCCATCCGCCACGGTTGGAGACGTCCTCGAGTTCATGGTTGGGATAGTTTAGGGTTTTGGGGTTTAGGGTTTAGGGTTTAGGGTGTAGGGTGTAGGGTTTAGGGTTTAGGGTTTAGGGTTTAGGGTTTAGGGTTTAGGGTTTAGGGTTTAGGGTTTAGGGTTTCGGGTTTCGGGTTTAGGGTGTATGGGGAGCACCTGCCCCCTCTGTGACAGAGTCCTGGGCCACCGGCTCCGACTTCCGCGCAGCGGGCCTCGCCTCCTCTGGGACGGCCTTCGCGGGCTTCGAGGGCTTCGCGTCGGCCTTCTCTTTCTCCCTCTCGAGGGCCACGGCCAGGGCCCCAGGCTTCTCCATGGCCTTCTTGTCGGAGATGTGCCTCCGGTAGCGGTTGTGCATCGACTGCCAGCTGTGCTTCGTGATCTTCTGGCGCTGCGCCCGCTCCCAGAGCTCGCGGCCCTGGGGCCGGAGCCCTGGGTTGGACTTCACCCACTTCACCAGCGCCGCGTCGTCCTCCGCCGTGAACTTCTTCCTCTCCGCCTTCCCCTTGGCTTCCTTGGCCTCTTTGGCTTCTTTGGCCTCCTTGGACCCGAAGATGCCTCCGCTGCTTGGGGCCTTCCGGCTCTTCTCCTTGGGTCGGACGGTGTAGTCCTGCAGCTTCTGCAGCTGCCCCTTCTCCACCGAGTCGGTGATGAACCGCGAGGAGACCGCCGAGCGCTCCCCGGCGGGCACCGACCCATCCGGGATGATGTTGATCGCCTGGTCATGGGGCTCCTCTGCGAGGAGCCCACCCCCGTCCCTCACAAGGGACCGGAGCCGAGCACCATCCTGGCAGGGAGGCACATAGAAGCTCAGCTCCTTGCCAAGCTCCACGAAGAGCCGCGGGGGAGGCAGCTGCTGTGGCGATCTCGCGGCCTTCTCACCCTTCTCCCGCTTCTCCCGCGCCAGGGAGGGCGCCACTGCCGGCCGACCCCGCTTCATCTGAAATGGCGTCGCATCAGTCTCCTACAAGACCACGTGTTCAGAATTGGGTTCCGTCTTAGATGCCCCTTGTCCGTGCAATGAGTGCTAGTGCTGCTTGGAGGAGACTCGACTCGGACTTTTCGTGTGCTGATCTGATGTGCAAATGCCGGCACCTGCCACCTCGCAGCCCTTGCAGATCCATAGACTTGGGCATCCACAGTGCTGGCAATGAGCCGACATTCAGGAAAGTGATGCGTGCAATTTGTATGTGTGTGTGCACCTGCTAGGATAAATCCCCACATCTGAGCTGACTGAGCTGACTGAGCTGACTGAGCTGACTGAGCTGCTTGCCACCTCATCCACCACCAGCCTGTGGGACCTTCAGTCGCCGGGTCTCAGCATGTCTATGCCTAGAAAGCAAATGCTTTAATCTAGGGGCTTGAATAATTAGAACAGGGTTTTGGGGGAGGGGGGTATTATAGTATAATTCTAAAGGACCATAAGGGAATAAAATTAGTACTTATTCCGACCCCATGGCCCAGTGCGGTTGGATGTAGGCGAACTGTTGCGGCCGAGATCGTGGACTGGGGCCCCCTCGACTTGAACATCTGCTTGTGCCACTTGATGCCTGTGGAACACAGCATGATGCTCAGGACATCACCAATCCACGATGTCTGACCCGACCCCACCCACGCCCGTCCGCGCCCCACTTGTCATCGCCCTCACGCCGAAGTCGGACTCGCAGTCGGATGCCTCCCCAAGTCAGCCGTAAGAACCGGGACCTAGACATGGTGGGTTCGTCATGCCATTCACGTCCGAGGCAAGATTTGAAACCATGCTGTGTGCTGTTTCTGCGCAAATGCAGACCAGCAATGTGACCCTAAACCCTAGACCCTAAACCCCCTCCCATGCCTTCTTGGCTGCCACCCTCCTCTTCGGAGGACTCGCCAGCTTCGACATCGAAACCTGAGCAAGACTCGACTGTTGCATCCTAAACCCCCAAAAACCCCTAAAACCCTAAAACCCTTAAACCCTAAAAGGGAAAAGCCCCCCCCCCAAGCCCTAAAGCCCTTTGGAGCCCCCGAAACGCCCGCACCCGGGAACCTTGCGGTTGGCAATTTCCGGCGGTTCCTGAAAATAGGGGTCCCCCAGAGCCCCCAAAATGCTGTAACCCTTCCTCACGGATATATCATATGATGTAGGGTATATATTTCTTGTACCCCCAAAAGGACACCAAATACATACACTCACCAATATTAACAAGGAACCTTATATACACTCACCAATAACAGTAATATAAACCCTACTTCATATCCCAAGGGCCGAGTTAGCATCGCCTGAAAGCTCCATTGCTCTTTCGGAGTGCCGGGGGCCGTACTCGCTCGCGGCGACGCCGAGAGCGCCTGAAACAGGGACAAGGCCCCCTTGTCCCCTACAATTTAAACCCTCAACCCTAAACCCTAAACCCTCAACCCTAAACCGCAAACCCTAAACCCTAAACCCTAAAACCCTAAACCCTCAACCCGAAACCGCAAACCCTAAGCCCTAACGCCTAAACCCCCTCTTCACCCCCCCTCAAAGAGGGACTTCAACTCAAGAATCGGCACTCCACTGCGTCGGAGTGATGCTGCGCCTCTTGAACACGACGAGCCTTGGAGACGGATAGATTCTATGCACCTTTTGGTACAGGGATTTGGGATCCGGGGTGAGGGTGTATAGGGTTTGGGGTTTAGGATTTAGGGTCGCCCTGAGCCCGAATTCTTCCCATCTTGTTTTCAGGGGTTTAGAGTTTCAAGAATCTAGGGGAACTGCATGAGGGCTCCCTTGAGCAGTTGCTGAGTTCATAAGGCCCACAAAAGTGTACACTTTCATCTCCATAGGGAATTTGTAGTATGCCAAAGTGTGTAAAGTGTGCTCACTCAGCCACTAAGGCTTTGCGGTTCAGGAGTGCCCCTCAACCCTAAACCCTAAACCCTAAACCCTAAACCCTAAACCCTAAACCCTAAACCCTAAACCCTAAACCCTAAACCCTAAACCCTAAACCCTAAACCCTAAACCCCTACCCCCTCTAAACCTCTGAAAGCCCGCTGGGGTGGTGGCCGCCTCTCTCAGCGCGGCTTCGCTTGGAGCAACGTGGCATCGGAAGCAGCTCGGTTGCGAGGCCTCTCGCCCGAAAAGGGTTTAGGGCTTGGGGCTTAGGGTTTAGGGTTTAGGGTTTAGGGCGTAGGGTTTTGGGTTTTGGGTTTAGGGTTTAGGGTTTAGGGCAGCTCAGCTACTCCAGGATCCCAAGATCTAGACCCTGCACCCTAAACCTAAACCCCAAACCCTAAGCCCTAAACCCTAATTAAATCCTAAACCGTCTAAACCCTAAACCCGAAACCCTAAACCTTAGACCCTAAACCCTAAACCCTAAACCCTAAACCCTAAACCCTAAACCCTAAACCCTAAACCCCAAATCCTAAACCCTAAACCCTAAACCCTAAACCCTAAACCCTAAACCCTAAAGGTACTTAGGGGTGACCCTGACTCGGCAGGCCCCCGGCTTCGGGCGAATCCTCGCCCTCGGCCAGGAGCAGGACGGAGGGCCCCGAAGTTCCACCAAGGTCCTCCCACAAGCAAGAGTAAGCGAATCGTGATTGTGATTATGATTCTGACTCTGACGATGATGATGACTATGACTAGGATTATGATTATGATTATGGCTGTGATTAGAACTACGGTTGTGACTATGATTATGATGGTTGTTATGGTTTTAGGTTCTGACTATGAGGGTTATTCCGACGATGTCTGATGACCATACTGATTCAGTTACGTGTAGGACTTAACATCATCACCCTGATTGCCACATTGGGCCAGACTGGGCCAGATCCCATCTTCCCGCCGACCTCTGGTAGCAGCCCCAAGCGATAGCGATCTGCTACGGCCATGGCCAGCAGTAGGGGAAGCTAAGGTGGCAAGGAGTGATAATTAAGGCCTCTGTTTAGAAACCTGGTAACGAACCGTTTCTTGCGGGTGCACCAACTGCTGCTCTCTGGTAAGCCCTGCGCAAAAACAGCTCGCACGATTCGAGCACAAGGCGGGCGAGATGGCAGCCACTGTCGCAGACCGAAGCCCTCCCTGCAAGGTGAGAGCTCATCAAGGTCCATATCCCGGCACGAACACAACAGGGTTCTGCGGCTTGGGGGGTGGCACCACCATGTCCTGAACCCTCAACCACGTAAAAAGGGGCATGTTGACGCTGTTGCATGATTCGTCGAATACCGGGCTACCGGAAAAGCAGCCGCCTCGGGCGGCAGCACATGGGAGAGTGGGCCCTGTTCCAGGGGCTTCCCGAGCTGCTCAAGGCCCCGAGATCTAGTATAAGGATAGTATAAGGGCCCAGTAGTCGAAGACATTGAACGTGTGGTTCACGTGCTCTCAAGAAATCCCACAAACTTGGGCCCGTCTTCGAGCCGTTAGCAATCTAGTTGACGTCTGCTGCCACTGCACCCCAACTGGGAGCAGGCTAGGCAAGAAAAGGCTCACACCACACCCGACTGCCCTGCGGGCAGGAAGGATTGTTGCAAGCACTGCTCTATGCACTAATCAGAGTCTAAGGAAGCTCTCAAGAGTCGGGGGTATGGCAGACTTCGTCCTGAGGCTTCAATGATGAGCGCTTTGAACATAGTGCCCCTCTCGTCCATGCACCGCACTGAAGTACCTCATTGAGGTGCTGGCTGCTCAATCACCGAAGAGCCTGCGAAGGTCGAACTCAACTTCCAGCGAGCGAGCTCTACTGGGGTTGCCCCACACATCGGGATGTTCCTCCTTATACTAACAGTCCTTAGTAGGCATTAGAATAGGGGAAGTAGTATAATCCCGATTAAGGACTGTCAGTAAAAGGGGGAACATCCCAACCTACACAAACCAAACAGGACGACCCCAAGGCCCTCTGCCAAGCTTGTCTTTATGTGGGGGCTTCCCAAGATTAGGGGTACCAATTTTGGAGCTCCCATCGTGAACGTGATTGAATTCTTCGGGCATCGAAAATTCCCTAAACCCTAAACCCTAAACCCTAAACCCTAAACCCTAAACCCTAAGTACCACGATGTTCGGGAAGACCGTGGAAGACCCATCGCAGCCCCACCTTCGCTTGCATGGGCAGTGGAGCTGGGGATCCACCTCGGCGCCAAAAGAAGATCCATGGAAAAGCCAAAGTAAAGTAGGGGACAGGATTAGGGGGACCCTTGGGGATATAGACCCTCTGAATAAGGTCCCTTGTTAAGAGAGCCAGAAGAGGGTTCAGAAGGGGTTCCCTTTTAAGGGTCCCCCTTATCCCACCTAGGATAAAGTTTGAGGAGGGGGTTTAGGCTGCAGTTTTCAGGCTTTGGGGTTTGGGACTTGTGTCAGGAATCCAATTAGGGTCGTTGCTCTCGACAAGTGCCCCAGTCCTGAAGATGGAGGAGGACGGCGACAACGACGTCGACTCCGGTGACTCGACGACGACGTTGTCGACAGCGTTATACAAAAAACAGACGAGACGCATGAATAAGCCCCAGCACAGCCTGGGTGTTTCTTCCCGATCTTAATTGCAAAAACCGCGGGTACCTTCTTTCGATCTAGACCCAATACCCCAGATCCGTGTTTCCTTTGAGCTTGCGGTGCTTTCCCCTGGAAGCGACAAGGATCGTGCACGACTGGTCGGAGACAGGGTGATCAACGGCTTCCGAGCTTTGAACAAGCTGTGCTGAAGCTGAAGGCATTCCTCTTGCTACCATGGCTAAGGTGTTGGCATTGAGTGCATCAAGTTTTTGAGACTCGAGACTACTTGGGGGTGGCAGGCTTGACTTTTCATTCTACTTGGGCTTCATGACAAGCTCCCTCTAGCCAGGGCATTCGAGAAGGACACTCGGCACGAAATGTGCCCCTGACGCGCCGGAAACCCACCCGGCAGAGCGCGAAGAAAACAGGGACGACAGAACAGCACGTTTTTGTCCGCGTTGAGTAAACTCAGCCTTCTCACGGAAATGATTTCGGTC